ATTCCTCTTTATTGCTGAACTAGAGGCCCGGTGCATGGATTCATGCACTGATGCGGTCGCTCAGCCTGGCCTGTGCCCTCTCGCAATCCAGGACCCCTCAGGGGATGTTGGACTGGGGAGGAGCCCCAGCTGGGGTGGGCACAGTTCCACTGCTGCTCACCCCGCCCCACTGCACTTGCTGCCTCTGCTCCCGCTGCTGCAGCTGTGCTCACTAGCTTCTGGCTGAGTGGCGCTCCCACTATGGGAGTGCACTGACCACCAGGGGGCAGGTCCTGTGTTGAGCATCTGCCCCATAGTGGTCAGGGTGTGTCATAGCAACCGGTCTACCCATTGTTCCGGTCATTCGGTCGTAACGGTCGCTTAGGCTTTTATATATATAGATAGTATTCCAATCTATGGATATTCCACTGTTTGTTTAACCCTTGGAAACACATCTAGATTCTTTCCAGTTTGGGGCTCTTGGAAAAGCTGCTAGGAATATTTGTGTTCAGGTTTTTGTGTAGACATACGTTTTAATTTCTCTGAGGCAAATGACCAAGAGGTGACTGCTGGGTTGAATGGTAAATGCAAGTTTACTTTGATTAAAACTGCCATATTCTATGTCATAGTGGCTATACCATTTTACATTCCCATCAGCAGTGTGTGAGTGATCCAGTTTCTTTACATCTTTGTCAGTATATAGTGTTGTCACTATCCTTTATTTTAGTCATTCTGATAGATGTGCAGTTTGTTGTTGTTTGTTAGAACAACTCAGAAAAGTAAAATTCCTGTTTATTGTGGACAACATTGTTTCACACATACATCAAACAGGCCCCCCCAAAAATAATAAACAGCAATTTCATAGACAAAAAAAGGGGAAAAAAGAAACCTCTTCATCTTTGGCCTTTTTAACCATCTCATACAAACCAACTACTTATAATACAGCTATGTACATACACAAAAACTTACTGGAATGCTCGGAATAAGATTGTTTTTTGTTGTTTTTGCTTTTTTTTTTTTTTACAGGGCTTTTTTTCACCTTTGTGATTATAATGAACAGGATCTCACCACAAGTAACGTCAGAAGTAGGCCAGAGAATGCTCCAAAAGCTGGTTTGGTCATCCCAAGATCATTAAAAATGGCTGACCCCTAACAATGTGTACAAAAATATAAAATGTAAATAAAAAATACAAACAAATTTTCCTTTTTAAAGTACTTTCAAGAAAAAAAGCAAGGCCTTGGAGTTTTGGTTCTGTTTTCCTTCCCTGTTGCAAATTCAAGTTGTGGTTTTGGTTGGGTGGTGGAGAGTGCGTGTCATCTGCAGGGGGTGCTGCCCGAGGTGGGTGGGTAGGCAGGTGGATGGGAGTCTCTACTCGAAGGTGACCACGTTAGATTCTGAGATGGGAAGTGAAGGGTGAATAGGTCACGGAGGCCTTTAACTTTTCCTTTTTTTGCTATCTAGTCATCCTCGTCGGTCTTCTGCTTCTTGGTGTCAACATCAGCATCCTCATCATCTTCAGCTGCCCGTTTGCCTGTAGCTGCCTCAGCCTCCTCATCTTCATCTCCAACTTCTTCCTCACCATCACCTTCCTCTTCCTCCTTATTCCCATTAGCAGGTGCATCTCTTCCATTCTCTGCCTCCCCCACAACTTCCTTCTTCTTTAAGTGCTTGGTGGTGATCTCGGAACTGGTGTCCACTGCCTATCTGACATGGCGAGGCATGCCCGTGATCCTATGCAGCAGATTTTTTTTAAGTGAGAGTTGGAGGACTCTGGCGAGAAGCAGCCCGAGTGTAAAGGAGGCGCTCGGGGGAGGTGGTTGCAGCGAGCGGAGAGGGAGCAACAGGAACAATGCAAAGATGGCTTTTCAGAGCAGCCAGTGGGACAGATGTGTAGGTGTTTTTTTTTAAAATATATCTTTATTGATTTCAGAGAAGTAGGCAGAGGGAGAGAGAGAGAAACATCAAGGATGAGAGAGAATCATTGATAGACTGCCTCCTGCACACCCCACACTGGGGATCACGCTGCAACCCGGGCATGTGCCCTGATCAGGAATCTAACTTGACCTCCTGGTTCATAGGTCCACGCCCAACCACTGAGCCACAAGGGCCGGGCTAGATGTGTAGTTTTAATTAACATTTCAATAATGTCTAATGATGCAGACCATCTTTTCATGGGCCTATTTGCCATCTGTATATCTTCACTGAAATGTCTGTGCATGACTTTTGCCCATTTTCTAATTGGATTGTACTTTCACTGTTGAGTTTGGAAAATTCTTTACATAAGTTAGTTTGGAGAATGCTTTATGTATTCTAGATACTAGTCCTTTGCCAGATATGTAGTTTGGAAGCATTTTCTTTCAGTCTATAGCTTGTCTTTTCATTCTCTTCATATAGGTTTTCTTAGAGCAAAGTTTTAAATTTTGGCAAGATTGACTTTATCAATTTTTTTCTTTTATGGATCTGGTGTTCAAGATTAAGAATCCTTTGCCTGGCCCTAAGATTTGAGGATTTTCTTCTATTTTTTTTCCAAAAAGTTTTGTGATTTGTCTTATAGTTAAATCAGTTATTATTTTGAGTTAATGTTTATAGATGATGTAAGGTTTAGATCAAAGTTCTTCTTCTTGGAGAAGACAAAATGGCGACCAGCAGGAAGGTAGGGAGG